GAAAACAACAAAAAAAGAGAAAACACAATACTAAAGAAAAAACAATAGAACACCGAAACACACATAATAAGAAGTACAAGAAGGAGCGTGAGGAGAAGGAGGACAAGTAAAATCTTGCTGTGTTATTCACAATTGTCGTCGTGTGAAGAGCAAATACAGAATATGCAAATGAATATGTACATATTTTCATAGTTTACCATATCTACACACATACATACATAGGTTTTAATATTCATCCCGTAAATTTTCGTATTTTTGTGAATCGGTAGATGAAAAACATCACCCATGGTTCCAATCTGGAGCTTAACTTCTTTAAAATGCTTAACCTTCCATTGTTATAGTCCGAATAGCCACTAAACAGTAGCTATTTGGTATAATCTCACTGGTAGGGATCGTTATCTGTGGATTTATATACCATCGATCAATTTACTACATGGTACTAGTACTCGAATCGTGATATTAACAGTTCGATTCGTGGGACCCCGTAACAGGGTCGTCGTCAGGTCATGTGGATGACGAATACTCTATTTGCTCTTCTGTATGAATGTACATTTATACATATGTACAAATGTATGTATGAATGTACATACATAGGTGTCTGTGTACTTCGCTGAGACAAAGTCAACAAGTAGAAGAAGAACATGAGGAAGGGAGAAGCAGAAGAAAAACAACAAAGCAAACTTGAAGCCGGCTCCAGGCCACAAGAACAACTCGAACCAGAAGAGAGCGCAAACAGCGAAAATGCCGAGGGAGGCGGTAGGTATGAGCAGAGAAACCACAACAAACAGCGCAGCCGCCACCGCTCTGCCGGTGGCGATAGGAGCAGAAGCGGCCCAGCCGACCCTGAGGCTCCAATGAGTCATAGAAAGAGTGGACGGCGTTGATGGCGGCGCCAGCGTTACATAAGCTGACGTTGGAGCCGATACGAAGCCAAAAACTCGGCGTAAGCTTGCAAGAGATCCACTGGCGTCGCTTTTTTCTGTCCAAGGTGTATATTAATGCAGGGTAATATAGTACGCAGATAGAGGACGGCCAACTAGGAATGGTAACAAGAAACGAGGTGAACCATGTGCCAGAAATTTAGAGATCTTGGTGGGTTCCCATATTTAGTGTGAGTGATCCAAAGTGTGGAACACAAACTACGCATTCACCTTGGCGTCGGATAAAGCTTGCAAAGAGAGCGCCAGCAAATTGCTCTCTCATCTCCCTCACTCTTTGCTTGTACTTTTCACTCTCACGTAATTGAAAAGTAACGGCGCTGTCAGTGACAGCTGCTGAACGCGCTCAATTAAAAAGTCATTAACTGCACACACACACACATGCCACAGACACTCAACTCACGCATTCTCAGGGAGAGGTCAACGAAAAAGGAATGCGAGAAGGAATTGAATCCGCCGCTGTGACTGCAACTGTGATGTGATTGACACCAACACGCAAGTACTCATCCCACCCCCTCGTGCACCTTGCAATTAGGAGTTTCAACGGCCAGCGCTATCTGCCCACTGCATGAAGAAGGGCCTACCTGCGCGCCCAATCATGCCCTGCAACTGTTGCGTGTCCATAAATGCGCCATAAAACGGTCTAATCCCCAGTGCAGACACTAAACCGGCTGCAGCGGTTGGATCAGCTGTTTCGCCAAAGCTATCGCTCCGCCTTTTGTCACTATCATTTATACTTTTTGTCTTCCCCCTTTTGCAATGAGAGACCATAGCGAGCGTGCATGCGGTTTCTGCTTTTGCGTTCGTCTGTTCTTCTTTTGTCATTCTTCGTCTCCGTACTTTCGCCCTACTTTGCTCTCCTGACATGTGCAGACAACGTGTGTACTGTGAAGCCTGCCAAAGACAGATAAGAATATACAAATATGCACTGAAATAAAAATTATCATATGGAGTCCCAGTTTTTGTTCATGAATTCCCATTAATAGCGAAAATGATGTACATCCCAAAACAAACCAACTCTAGCAGGTCCCACTGTACTTTCGAGTCGTCAGCCGTTGTCGAGCCCCGCACTGCTCTGGCTCTTCGTCGTTGCCGCTCTCTTCGCTCTCCGTTTTCTTTATTGTTTTATTGTCAGTTTAGGGATTTGACAATTTGCTTGCTGATTTTTTATGACAATCATGTATGTAAATTTTCGGCCTGTCTTCTCTGCCTCTCTCTCGGCCTCTGTCTGTCTCGCTCGCTCTTTAGTACTCCACTCAACTCTTCCTCAAGGCCTCAAACACACACACGCAAACACAATCTCGCATAAATGGGTATCTTTGTGTGTTGCCCGCCGCTTGCCTCTAGCCCCCTGTCCATTCCAATATCCACATACACATCAACATCAAAATCCACATCCCCGTGTCCGTTTGTACGAATATCTGGGCTCCATTAGCTCTTCACATTTTGGCTTGCGAGATTTTTAAATACTTTTGGGCTGAATCCCAGACCAGACCCAAAAGCTAACACGGAAAAAAAACCAGAACCGAACGTACATATCCATGCCTAAACCCTTCCCGCAGCTATTTTTAGTTTTCTCTCTGTTGTCTTTCTTCGCTATATTTTCGTATGCTGTGCATAATAAAAGTTGGGTTTATTCATTTTTTAAGCGATGACAACTTTTACGAGACCTGTGACGCGGGCAATCGGCAATCCCGGCCCCAACTCGACTCGGAAACTAGGCTAGTAGTGTAAGCTTTGCTGGGGACGGGACTGGGCCACTTAGCGTTAGTGTGAGTCAATGGCTGATTAATGCGAAATAGTTAGTTTATTAATAGTTCCTCCCTTATCGGAACACGTTAATCATATGCATTGAAACAGTAGCACAGCTGTGGCCCTATTTATACTGTGGGAACCATGAATGCCTAGCCCTCATCGTAAAGTCAATTAACTTGTAGCCAGCATCCCAAGGAGAGTCATAGCCAACTATGCTATTGAATGCTGGAGCTGCAACATCAACATTAATCATCACATGCAGATGTGCCTAAAATAATTACTAAGATTCTAATTGTTGGCCTGCTTGTCAAGTTCTTAAATGTACATAGGTTGGCTGAATCCTTCATATAACGAAAATCCAAAAATGTTAACTGTTCCAGCAGTAGATTCAACATTTATCTATAACATCTATCTATAGGTGCGGTGATAAAACCATGAAACCATGCCAAACACCAATTAAAAAGCCAAAGAAGTTGTTCAATTCATCCATAAGCTAGTTATGGCCGCTTGAATGGTTTCACCAGCTTGCCCAGCAGCTGAGTTCACCCAGACCCGGCTTCGGCTTATCCAAAATACGCGTGAGTAGAGAAATCTCAGAAGTCTGCAAGATCATCAGAATCATCTTCATCAGCGGCAACGTTGTCGCTTCCCCTATATTTTCCCATATACTTTTTCATCAAATAAATAAATGGTAAAAAACGAAAAATCAAACGCAAAACAGACAATGCAAAAGCAAGAACAAAAACAAATGCAGCGGGTAGCGTCGTACATAAAACCCGGCTTCGTTATATACATTGAGCGCACACACGCACACATTAACACATGTCACGGATTGCGTTAGCAACATTTTGGTGTAGCTCAGCAACATTTTAGCACTCCAAGAGAGAGAGACAGAGCGCGTCGTGCTCTTCAACCCGAAGTCAGCCGAAGCTCGGAGTCGAGCGCAAGAGTGAGTAAATCCTCCCTTTTTCTTCGATCGACTCGAGCTCTGGGCCTTGGCAAGGTATGAGCAATGAGGCAAAAGGGCCCAGCAACATTTCAGTGACTCCGGCACCTCACCTCACCGTGTTTGATCAACAATATGCCACAAAATGCACAGTAAGATGAAAAAAGGGGTGGATTTTACTCTGCCTGCGTGGTTTTTTGCTGGCCACTGCGCCTGCTGCCCATACCCTTCGTCCTCCGCAGCAACACGCGTTTGTTTCCCTGCAACATTTGAAGCCGTAGCAACATCTGAGGGCGGGCGTATTTGAAACAAACGGCCTTGCCGCCCCAATCTTTGAAATTTGTAACGGCACAAGCAAAAAGGCCGCGGCCACCGAAACACACTACTTTTTGTGGAGCTGGAGCTGCTGTTTTAGCTTTTAGCGCCCTTTTTTGTTTCATTTTCTTACACACCAAACAAACAAAAATCAACCTCACAATTTTTGGACAAAATTCTCGGCCATCAAAGAAAACTAAAACTCTATTTCGGACTTATAACAAAACCAAAAAAGAAGTTAATCATTCAAGTGTTATATGTATATATTGTGTTTGCAAACAATTTTTTTTTGTTCCATTCCCCGAAAAGAATAATGACAAACGAAAAGTGATCTTGTGGAAAATGTAATAAAGAGCGTCGTTGTCGTCGTCGGAGATCGCAGAATCCAGCAAGCATCAGGCGAGCAAAGGAGACGCAGAACACGCTCACCCACTCTCTCTCTCGCAATCGCACACAAAATACAAAATTCAAAATTTGCATAGTACAGTGAGCAAAAGTTTGAAACGATTTTTTGGTTGTTTCTTCAGTTTATTTTTGTCCCCCACACCCCCCGTTTATGTTGATTTGTGTTAAGAAAGCAGCAGGCAAGCAGAGAAGCAAAGAGGATCACCAGCAGCATCAGGAGCAGGAGCGAAAAGGAGCATGTAAAGTAAGCAAAAGAAATCGAAAGAGGAACCACATGGAGATCTGGAGACATATATGTATTTTTTTTTTCGTGTGGTGTGAAAGAAGCGGCAAGCAAGTTACACGAAACAATACTCGAATGTAAAAACCAAAAACCATAATTGCATTTTACAAGAATTTTCTGTAAAATCGTGTAATAAAAAGTGAAGCAAAAATTAAAAGAGAACTCGAACCAAAATGAATGCGAAGAACAGTTAGTTAGTTTGCCCGTCTATTTGTGTGTGTGATTGTTTTTTCTTGTTTTTTTTTTCTTGCCTACAACAATTAATAATCGAATCAAATAATTTAATTATTTGCAGTTCCAAATACAACAAATGAAAACCAAAAATTAATTAAAACAAAAAACAAAACAAAACAAAACGAACGGTAAAACAAAACGCCAACGAAAACCAACAAACAAAAAACAAAATCTAAGGAAGAGCGAAGGAGGAGGAGGAGAAGGAGGAGGGAAAAGGCAGGCGAGGATGCAAGCCTAAGCCTGATCCGCACAAGAAGAAGCAGGAGTGTTCAAGCAGTTCAAGCAGCGGAACGCACGGCCACATGAGCAGCACACGCAGCCGCAGCCAAAGCAGTAGAAGCAGCAGCAGCAGCAGTAGACACAACAGTAACAGCACGAGCACGAGCGAAACGCCGTTGACTTATGTAGCGGTACATGGCGAGCATCAAAAGTGAAATGCCGCCACTGCATGCGGCAGAGGCTCTGGCCTCAAGCAGCGCCACAGACAGCGGCGGCGGCGGAGGAGGAGGAGGAGGAGGAGGAACAGCAGCTGTCAGCGGCGGCAGTGGTGGTGCTGGGACAGGAGCAGCCGGCGGCGGTGTTAACAGTGCCCCGGCCACCCCAAATGCCACAATAAGCGCCGCAGCCGATTCCAGTGATAACCAGCCAGGCACACCGCAGCCACCACAGCAGCAACAGCAGCAGCATCAACCGCAACAGCAACAACAGCAGCAGCAGCCGCAACAGCAGCAGCAGCAGCAGAGCATGGCCACGGATCCACAGGTAACGGGCATTACCCACCAGCCCTATGCCACCCATCACATGTACTCCGCCAGCGGACAGCCCCAGCAGCAGCAGCAGCAGCAACAGCAGCAACAACAACAGCAGCAGCAGCAGCAGCAGCAGCAGCTGTACGGTGGCATCTACGGCGGAGAAATGCAACAGCAAAGCTACGCGAGCAGCTACATCAACAGCTACGAGCAGTTCTACCAGCAGCAGCAGCAACAGCAGCAGCAGCAGCAGCAGCAGCAGAGCAGCGACTACAGCTTTGGGGGTAGCCTGGTGGGCGGCGGGGACTACAGCAAGCATGCGGCACAGAGCTCAGGTGTCCGGTATCATCCGTACCTGCCGACGCCGACATCGGCGCTACCCAGTGCCGCGGAGGAGGCAGTGAGTGCTCCCAGTGCCGTGAGCACCACCACATCGGCGATGAGTCCGCGCGTCGTCAGCAGCAGCAGTCCCACATCGACCTCGTCGCACCTGCAGCTGGGCGGACCGCCCGGTTCCCCCAGCGGGCCCGGTGGCGTCGGTGGCTGCAAGTTACAGTGCAAAAAGTGCGGCATCCTCACCACCAACGAGCAGGAGCTGCAGGAGCACATTGCCAACGTGCACGGAGAGTCACCGTACGGGAGCAGCGGATACGCCAGCTCGCCGTACATCAAGGAGGAGATGCCGACACCCCAGCCACCGGGCGGCTCCAATCCCGGAGAGCTGCTCGATCTCGACTCGCAGAAGATGGTCTACCATCAGCAGCTGCTGCAGCAACAGCAGCAGCAGCAGCAACACCACCACCAGCACGAGGCTGTCGTCGCCGGCCTGCCTCTGTCGCTGCCCGATCCCCTCCACTCCATGCAGTCCATGCAGCAGCGCGCCCTACACAGCTGGGAACAGCCGCAGACGGGTCTCGGAGTCGGAGTGGGAGTTGAGGGCCTGCCTCCGTACATGCAACAGCAGCCGGGCTTGGGCCTTGGCGTTGGTGTTGGTGTTGGCCTCGGCCTGGACAAGTCGCCGTATTACTCGCCAAAGCAGTCGCCCTACCACCAGGCGGGCGGAGGAGTCGGCGTCGGCGTCGGCGTCGGCGTCGGAGCTACACTCATCAAGCAGGAGTATGGCGTGCACGGGCTGATCAAGTCCGAGTATCCAGACTCGCAGCACTACGTGGACAAGTCGTTCGATCCGACGGCTGGCAGTGGCGGGGGAGTCGATCTGTGCGCCAATGTGGCCACCAGTCCGGCGGAGTTTCCCAGCACCACGACGGGCGGACCGGGCCAGGATGGTGCGCCGCCAGCGGTGGCCGTTGGACAGCAGGCCGCCTACCGCGGCTTCGAGCCGCCCAGCTCCAGTTCGGTGCTGCCGGCCAACAGCCTCACGGCCAAGGCGGCCACCTGGAAGTCGAATGAGGCGCGCAGACCCAAGACCTACAACTGCACGGCCTGCAACAAGTGGTTCACCAGCTCCGGACACCTGAAGCGCCACTACAACACGACGCTGCACAAGAACGCGGTGAAGTCGAGCGGCCAGCCGGATCCGGCCACGCTGCCCATTTCGGCGCATCATCATCCGTCGCGGGATCCCGTAACGAAGCCCAGTCGGCGCGGCAATGCCGCCGCTGCAGCTGCGGCCGCTGCAGCAGCTGCCGCGGCAGCATCGGCGGTGCCCCAAGTGCAGCCACCGCCGCCGGCCAATGTGCAACCACCGGAACCGCCTAGAAGTCCGCCCGACTATGGCGGCGGGGGCGGGGTGGGAGCGGTGGGCGGCGCTGCCATGTCCCAGTACTCGGCCTCGCCATCGCCCACCACACAGCAGCAGCAACAGCAGCAGCAGCAGCAGCACCATCAACACCAGCTCCAGCAGCAGCAGCAGCAGCAGGCCAACGGGAATGGGTATCCGGGCAACGGCGGCGCCAATGGCTACGGCTACGGCATGCAGCAACAAGTGCAATCCACGACAAACGCTTCACCACAGCACGCTTCCAGCCATCAGCAGCAGCAGCAGCAGCAGCACCATCTCCAGCAGCAGCAGCAGCAGCAGCAGCAGCATAGCAGCAGCAACAACAACAACAACTCCGTTTTGAACGGTCACCCAAACGGGCTAGCAGGTCCCTCCGCCCCTCTCAACACCAACAACAACAACATCACACAAATGCCGTCCTCCCAAATGAGGGGCCTGCTGAACGAAACAACAACAACCACCATCCCCAAAACCACACCAACAACAACAACAACAACAGCCACAATGCCAATGGAAACGGAAGCAATGGCAGCTATAAAGATCGAGCAACTGGAGGACAGCAACCACACCCACAACAGCCAGAACAGCCGCAGCAGCAGCAGCAGCAACAGCAGCTTAATGGCCATGGAGGAGGAGCAGGAGCAGGAGCGGGAGCGGGCAGTAGATCACCTACAGCAGCAGCAGCAGCAGCAGCAGCAGTTGGAGCAATTGGAGCAGCAGGAACAACAGCAGCAGGTCAGCTATCTGCTGGCATCCCGTCCCTACAGCTCCAACAGCAACAGCAGCAACACGCCCAACACGGCAGTCAGCAGCAGCAGCAGCAACAGCAACAGCAGCAGACTCTCGCCCCTTACTATCTACCAACTTCAGCAGCAGCCGCCGCTGCGGCAGGAGCAGCAGCAGCAGCAGGCAATGGATTTCTCGCGCACCACCCCGCCGCAGCAGCCGCTGCCGCCTATGGGAATGGGCCAGCCGCAGCAGTCGCTGCTGCCGCCTATGGGAATGGACTACAACATGCTGGCTTTGGATATGCCCATGCCCATGCACATGCCCATGCCCAGCAGTATGCTGCAGTGCAGCAGCACCAGCACCACGCCGCTAGCTACTATCACCACCACCAGTATGGACACTATGCAGCAGCAGCCGCAGCAGCTGGTGCACCACTACCAGGCGCTGCTCCACCCCCACCACCAGCAGCAGCAGCAGCATCAGCAGCAGCAGCAGGAGGAGGAACAACAACAGCAGCAGCAGCAGCAGCAGCGGGAGGAGGAGGAGCATCATCGCCAGCACCTACAGCAGCAGCAGCAGCAGCAGGATCCGGGGGCACTAATCCTGCCTCAGGACAATATGCCACACAGCAGCAGTTCGCCGGGCACCAGCAGCTCTCCGCCGCCGCAGCTGCAGCAGCAGCAGCAGCACACGGACACCCACACCCACACCCACACCACCCTCACCATGCCCATGCCCATGCCGCCCACCATGCACATGCCCATCACCACCACAGCGCAGCAGCTGCTGCCGCTGCAGCTGCAGCCGCCGCCGCCGCACATCACCAGCACCATGCCCATGCCGCCCACCATGCACATGCCCATCATGCCGCCGCCGCCGCCATGCTACCAGCAGCTGCAGCCGCTGGATCCCACAACGAGCTATCACACTATTATTGGTAGTTCCGCCGCAGCCGCAGCTGCAGCCGCTGCCGAGTCTGGTTACCCCACAAACGGGCATCACCATGCGCACAGTCACAGTCACGGCCACAGTCACAGCCATCCCCACCAGATCACGACCAGTGACGGTCAGATTCTGCAGCTGATGCCCGCCTCCCTGTTCGCACCCTATGCCCCGCTCTCACCGTACTCGACAGTGGCGGCCCAGCGGTCGCCACAGGAGGGAGACCTGCCGCCGGTGCACACCCTAACGACGGCCCTGCACGCCCACGCACAGGCACAGCAGGAGCAAGCGCACACGCCCACGCTGACGGTGCTCAGCACCCCCTACTCGCCCACGGTGAGCAGCTCGCGGGCCACGCCTGCCCTGGAGCTGGACATGGCCAGCCTCCTGCAGCAGCAGCAACAGCAGCAGGAATACGAACTAGAGCAGTACCAGCAACAGATGCAGCTGCATCAGATCGATCAGCTCCAGCAGCATCATCACCACCAACAGCAGATGGAGCAGCAGCAGCAGCAGCAGCAGCAGCAGCAGGCACTGGAACAGCAGCAGATCCAACTGGTGCAGATGGAACAGCAGCAGCAGCAGCAGCAGCAGCAGCAGCAACAGCCGACGCAAACGGTGACACAGTCGGTGGCCAAGAAGCGAAGAGGAACGGCGGCGGCCGCCAGCGCCACACCATCGACAACGAAGCGGCGACGCAACAGCAGCGTGGGATCAACATCGCCGCACTCGACAACGCTGCCATCCGGGCGGATCAAGTGTCTGGAGTGCGACAAGGAGTTCACCAAGAACTGCTACCTCACGCAGCACAACAAGAGCTTCCACTCCGGTGAGTACCCGTTCCGCTGCCAGAAGTGCGGCAAACGCTTCCAGAGCGAGGACGTTTACACGACACACCTGGGCCGGCATCGCACCCAGGACAAGCCGCACAAGTGCGAGCTCTGTCCGAAGCAGTTCCATCACAAGACCGATTTGCGGCGCCACGTGGAGGCCATTCACACGGGCCTCAAGCAGCACATGTGCGACATATGCGAGAAGGGCTTCTGTCGCAAGGATCACCTGCGCAAGCATCTCGAGACCCACAATCGACCCCGGGTTGTGGGCAAGAAATCTGCTGCCGCCGCAGCAGCAGCCGCCGCTGTTGTGGCAGCCGCTGCAGCAGCAGCAGCGGCAGCGGCATCAGCATCCTCACAGTCACAGTTAGTGACTACCGTTGCCTCCACCCTACCCGCCTCTGCCACGCCCACGCCCACGCCACCTCCCACGGCCATCAATCCCATTAAGGCGGCCTTTGCCCGATCTCTGACGGTGACGGCCGGGGCAGCATTGTCGCCCAGAAGCACTCCCAATCACTCCAATCCTCATCTGAATCACAGTCTCAGTCTCAATCTGAAGCGATCCATCGACGATGTGGCCGCCGACGATGACAGCCTGCTGGAGGACGATGAGGATGAGGAGGAGGAGGAGGAGCTGCTGCTGGACGAGGCTGAGGAGGATCGGATGGTAGAGCAAATGGAGGCTCAGCAAATCCTGCTGGTCTCAGCCGCCACAGGGGAAGGCCATCACATGCTGATCAAGGACGAGTTTCCCGACGAGGACTTTGTGCTGATTGAGAAAGATATTGAATTGTATTGAAAGGTCAGGGATCAAAGATTAGGAATCAGCCATCATGCCATCAGGGACTAGGATCCGATCGGATTTGTGGGCTGATTAAGTTGTGAAATGCTCTGAGCTTTGTGGCGACAGTTTGAGCCGCACTGCAGTTGAGGGCTAGCCTAGCGATTGACGTGAACACTGCTTCCCAGTGGAGGGAGTGATTACCGTTCAAAGCAGTCGCCATACAGCTGCACTGCCGTCCAAGCAAGCAGTCCAGTCCAGTCCAGTCCAGTTCCCGCTATGCGGGACCTACAGTTTTAGTGCCACTGCACAATTTCACATTTTAACATGATTTTGTGCTTAAAATGTCATTTAATTCGCGCACTGATTTTGGTTTTGGTTTTGACAAATTAAGAAAACACATTTTATTGCCTGGCAGGCAATAATTTGATGTTTTTTAAAATGTATTTATGTTTTTTTTTTTATTTTGATTTTGATCACTAAAGCCGCAGCATTTCAATGACTTGGCTGCCACTCCTTTGGCCATTCCAACCCCCCATTAAACAACACTCCAGAACTCCACAATTCATTCCTGTAATTAGAGATTGCCATATATATAGCGAAAACAAAAAGAAGAGAGTGTCTGTCTCTCCATCTTCAGGGAGAAACGAAACGAACGAAATGCAGAGAAAAGCAAGAGAATTCCTAATTGTTGTAGCAGCAAATTATTTAATTTTACTCGTATGTTAAATGTTGTATTATTATTTGTACTCTACGCCCTACGGCCTACTTTTTAATTTGTAGTTTTAAACAACTTTTAATTTGTATGTGAAATGATAAAGAAAGATCGAAAACAAATAACCTCCAAGTATACCTCAGCAACACAGCAGCAAACACCGAAACGAAACGCTTACACCAACATGGCGCCCCGCGTATATGTGTATATACATAATCCCAAACCATATACATACCTTTATTATATACCTAATTATATATATAAAGAAAGATAACTTGGTATGTTCCAAGTGTACTTAATTCTAGAGCATATTGTACGGATTTTTTTTTTGTCAAATTTAATTTTGTAATGATTGTTTTGATTATACGATTTGTCTTTTGATTTATTTTGTAATCGAGAGAGCGAAGAGAGAGGAGAGGAGGAGAGGAGTAGAAAGAGAACCACAAATGCCATATACACGATATGTACACTAAAAAGCAGCAACTAAATGCCAATTGATATATATATATACTATATCTAGATACTAGGTACACATATACATACATATCCATGTGTATTTGTTAGCCTTAAGAACGCCAAATGCGATAAATCAGGGATAATATACATACCATATAGGCACACCCACACACACACAGCTATATATATGCATAAACATATATACAGAGAGACAACACGAAAAGAAAACTTATACATATAAACCCATATATTTATTACGTTTAGTTGCCCCTAATTTATGTTTTCACGAATAAAACCATTTGTAATTATTTAAACTTTTCATTTACTTGTAATTTCCCTCCCCCCAACCAACACCCAACAAAAAATAAGGGAAATTCGTATCTCCTACATTCCTCATATGTACCCCCCCTCCCACCCCCATGCTCGTAGATATTTTGTTTATTACTATTATTACACAATTATTTTTTTTTTTTACCTAAATGTTAACCTACTTAACGCTTTCCCCTTTGGCACGCCTTCTAAGTATTTTTTTTAAATGACAAATATAAACGACACAAAAGAGAAACACAAAAAAAAAAAGTGTATATTACAAAATTTCTGTTTTTTTATTTCAATATATTTTCGATGTTCTTTTTTTGGTTTTCAGTTTGCTTGACAGTCAGTGTGGAAGTCGCCTCAACGTTGTAAATTCTGTTTCTTAGATAAGTTTGTTGTTCCTTGCATTTTTCGACTTGCTCAAACTCTGCCTCCTTCTGCAATCTTTTCTTTTGAGATCGAAGCTCGAACCATATTGCAACGAAATTTAATATTTTCTTTCATTTTTGATTTCTTTTTTATGTGCATACATTTTGTTAAAGTTAGTTTCAATTTTTGAACAATTACTCCAACGATTTGTCTTATTTTTATTCAGGAATTTTCAAGCACAGATGAAATGGTTCCTCCAGGTTCAATCTCAACAGAATTGTATTAAAATTGTATTAATTATGGTATACATTGTGTACAGGATGTACATATCTCTATAGAATTTAGTTGAATTTCATTTGAGCACGAAAACCCTGACAGATTTTGTGGGTTTATGGTCAGAGGAACATGTTCTTGGTTGCGTTTCCCCCATTCCCTTCTCTCAGCGTACAATTTTAAGTAAATGTTTTTGTGTTGTTTTTTTCTTCTTAGCTCTTTTGTTTTTCTTAATTATTTTTGTAGAAATTCGTTGTTGTTGTGGCTTTCAAATTTGTGTGGTTCCTCGACAGCTAGTTCCAAAGAAATTACGTGCGTGTCTTTAATATCTGTCGCCCTCTCTCTCTCTCTCTCTGTATCTTTGCTCTGCAGCTGAGGTTGAGAATCTCTGAAAACTCTCAAGTTAAGCCACCAATTTTTGCGAAGAAAGAAGCGAAGCAAAGATGGCAAGAAGTGAGGAGGGAGGAGGGAGGAGGGAGGAGGAAGAGAAACACACACAAAAGACACGACACGAAACATGTGTAGATACAAAGATATGTGCGGCTGCTCGTACAGGAACTGGCTTCCCTTTTGCCCGGTGTGCGATCAGCGCACATCCTTGAGGATGTGAGGGACAAAGGACTACTCCCTGTTCTCCGTGCCATCCTTGAAAAATCGAATTTCTATGGCCATGGCCAGGATTTCGCCCGCTGTTGCCGCTGTTGCTGGCAAAAACATCTCACGAACACATGTTGCATGCAACTCGAAAACTTCTGCGCGCTTCCCTCTGTTCAAATTTGTGCCACATATTGAGATCATGCGGAGAGGCAATAAAGCAATGGATGAGGAGAGGGAGAGGGAGAGGGAGCTAGCAGCAAGCGAGCAAATTGTACGAAAAAATAGACAAGCGCGACAGTGCGTGCTAGAAGTATGCAGACACAGCCACAGAACCGAAAACCCAATAATGGCACACAAAATCTCCAAATCTGGCAATGGGGAATGGCCATGGAGCTGTACAACCCCAGAAACCCAAAGCCAGGGTACGATTAAGGAAGTCTTTTTCGATGACAGGAGACTGAGCATGGAACTACAGTGAGCTCGGAGGGGACAGACACCCTTTTGACCAGTCTAATGCTGGCGAAACGCACTGTAGCTTGTAGTAGTGGGCCATTGCCTGTGCCAAGTTGTATCTCAAAGATACACAATTGACGGCAGCAGAGCGACACGAAGCTGGCGTTGCGCATGTGCGGCAGCAGCAGCAGTGGCGGCAGCGGCGGCGTGGCGGCTATGTCATCATAACGCTCTCTGTCTGTCCCTCGTCTTGCTGTCTTTCTCTGCCTCTTATACACTCCTTTCAGTGTGTGTGTGTGTGTGTGTGTATCTTCTACACTCGATTCTCGTTCGTGCGTTTTTCTTGCCTTGGTTTTTGTTTGCTGAACATAAAAACTGGTTTCCTGTACATATGCTCGTCCAGCAACAGAAACCATCTGTAATTTTAATTTTTCGGCAAACGATGTTGCCCTCTCCGTCTGCCACACACTGTCCACTCTCGCTCTCTCGCTCACTCACTCTTCTCCTCCTTTTGCTGCCTTCTATCTTCCTCTCTACTCCTCATTTCGTTTTCGTTTTCGTTTTCTTTTATTTTATTTTACTTCTTTTTTTTCTTCTCTTTTTTCGGCAGAGATTTTGATCGGTTGTTGTCCAGGTAGAAATTGTCTACCTCTGTGGCTCGTATCCATGTGCAACCGTGTGTGCGTGTGTGTGCGTGTGTGTATCTTGTAGATACCTTGAAAAGACAGTAGAATCTCTTTCTCTCGCTCACACGCGTAATCCTTGAATCCTCTGCCTTTGTGTTCCGTTCTCTACTTCTCGTATTCCCTTTTTTGTTTCTGGTCGATTTTCTCATTCCGTTTCTCCTCCTTCTACGCGGGTATATACAGCGTTAGCACTTACCATGATTCATAGTTATCCGCACACACACAGAGAGAGAGAGAGAAGCACAGAAACACAGATGCAGCCACAGATACATAAATACATGTACATACATATGTACATATGTACATATGTATATAGCGGAATGGATAGTAAGTGGTATATCTCCGCCGCTGCAGGAAAAGAAAAAGAATCTTCCTTTGATTCAAGCCAAGAAATACAACAAAAAAAAAAAGAATACAGAAAGACGGGGTACAACAATGTACAACAACAATCTCGCACAATAGTTTATGCGCCTTGGCAGGAGTCTCTTTTGTGTCTTAGCAGAAGAGTGGAGCAAAGAGAGTAGCCAACAGTTGGAGTGAGAAGTAGGATCTGCCCATGGGGGAAAAACAAACAAAAGTTCCATCTCTCTCTCTCTCTCTCTCTCTTTCTCTCTGTGTGTGCTTTATGATCGATGTGCAAAACGTGGAATTCTCTCTCCCCCCCTTCTTTTCCATTCCTGCTGCAGTTCCACAAACATGTGCCAAGATGGTCCCTCACTTCCTTGCTGCTGTCATTCTCGCATTTACTTTCTGTGTGTGTTTGTGTGTTTTTTTTTTGGTCTTTCTGCTGTTTGTGTTTGCTCTCCGTCCGGGCATTTGGTTCGCATAACGGGTCTTTTGTATTTAACATTCTCAGGCATTCTCCGTCTTCCCTTCCGTTGCCCCCACGAAAGACCAAATAAAAACGTTCCATAGATATCAGCAACGAGAATTTATTTGATTCGGGAGACAAAGGTATCAAAATCCTTATGGCACATCCTACAGAAAATTTCTCTGAAAACTACAAACCTTATCGGATGAAAGGGTCGAAATTGCGTTCATAATATATACCAAAGAAATATGCATTGAACCACTTACTATCCTTTTGCACATTTAAATATATTTATGGATTCAAATCGAAGCCTTTTTTGGCATTTCCCTTTTTGACTTATTTTTAGTGCTACTTTTCAGCATAATTACTTTCCCATCTCAGCATCTCGACATTTTTCCCACATTCCATTTGTTTCCTTATTTTTTTCTTGTTATAGAAATATTCGTAAACATCTTTGGTTACTTATCGACGAACCCTTGTGAGCGTTTTCCGAGCTTAGATGCCGACGAGTAGCGGCGGATATAAAAAGGTTAAATTAGAGCTGTCAAAAAGTCCTTGATGAGCAGTGCCTGAATCACAGCTGGGAAAATCCTTGACATCTTACACAAGAACTCAATCAAATTAGCCTCAAAACAAAAAAAAACCAAAAACCAAAAATAATATAATTGAAATTAAGCAGCAACCCCCTCGAAACCGCTGCCCCTGCCTCCCGCTCAACGCGGTAGAGACAGACAGACAGACAGACAGATCTATGGATTGGAATGGGATATTGGGTTAGGTTATGGGATTTTCATCTGCTTTGCTTTCCCTTGAAAACTGTAAAATTTTCCTTGATTTTTTTCTACTTCTACTTCGTGTTCGTGTTCGTTTTCTCTTGATTTGACTTTCGTTTCGGGCCAAGAAATTTCTTTCCCAGCGTTGCCTGTGGCTGTGCCCCTGCCCCTGCTGCTGTCGCTGTTGCTTCTTCTTTTTTAATTACCAAACATTTGACAGCATCCTGAGATGCTTATTGTGTTGCCCCACAAGCACACATAAAACGCACACATATGTTCTGTTGTGTTAACCTTTTCTGCTGGCAGTTGTGTGTGTGTGTGTGTGAGAGCTCTGAAGATAATCAGAAACCGAATCAGAAAGAGCTAGAAGAAACCTACCCCCAGGGTTTTATAGCATTAGATATTTGATTTCAAAAATTCAATGCCAAACAGCAACAACAACAACATGAGAGGACAGCATGGCGGTCGCTTCATCATCATCTTCGTCATCGTCGTCTTGTGCTCATCATTATCCTGAGCATCTGCCGCCTCTGGCCAAGATTCTTTCTTATTATCCTCGTGCTCGCTTGGAAAATGGCCACCACAAACAAAATTCAGAAGCCTCGCAGAAACCACCAATGGTTACGTTAATGCCAAATGAATATTGTAGAATATTATTTATATGTAGAAATATCTGAGCCACCCATTAGCCCACTTGTATCTACATATCTGAGCTGATCGCAGCAAGTATCTAATCCTGCAAGATCATCATCTACCCTCGCCTCTATTCATGTCTGCACATCAAAGGATCCTCCATTTCTTTTATTAGTTGCTGATCGATGTCCGTATGCACAGCTTACTCTTCGTTCAGCCAAATGCTAATCCGTTTAGTCCTTACCTTTCAATCTATTCTCTTCACTTTTTCATTACTTTACTTAGCTATCTATCTCTTGTGCGATGATATTTATCTTTCCAACCATGCCTGGTTTTTTCTGTAATCTTCAGTCGCTTTGGGGACAGACAGACACACGAAGCTTTTTACACACAATTAC